AAGTAAGATTTGGGTGAAAATAGTTTTGAGGTGGGGGGGGGCACTTCATTTATCTCTTCGGCGCCAACGATATGGATGTCGACAACACTCAAGAAAAGTGCTCAATAGCACTTCCACTTGGTTTGGCAACTTCTATTTGATTGAGCTTTTTTATTAGGGCCGTCTGAAACAGCTTGAAATACAGAAGGGAAGCGGTCCTGAGCCAAGAGCAGGGAGCTTTGCCTCAACATAAGGGTAGAAGGGTAGCGGGAGAAGCACGAGAGTGGGAGGATCACTGAACCCGTGCGAAAAATCAAACTGAATGCGTTGGATTTAGGAAAGATCAACTTTCTTATAAAAAAGTTCCTCCATACGAGCGTTTTATCCAAGCTCTTATCCTTGCTCCAAGAGATATCCTCAGTACTAAAGATTCAGAGCACAGTTGAGTGGCGTTCTTCCTTTCCCCTTGTCCCCTCAACGCCATTATCCCTCAAAATTAGTATGAGCTCAGGATCGTATTCGATCGCATTTGACGGGTGAAGCATCTAACCCATACTTCCGTTCAGGGTCAACCGCCCGTTGCGCAAAGGACAACGAGGGGTCGTGTTTGGCCAATGGAAGAGGAGGGGGTCGTACCGATACCCTCCGAAAGTGGAGGGGTCGTTAAAGTTTTGAAATCTGCGCAGCGCACGATTGACCCTGCTCTCGTTTCGATGTAGCGGAGTTCCAATAGTTCTTACCTGTCAGTACTTCAAATATACCGCCATTGGCATCAAAACAGGCTGCGTAAAGAATCGCATCTTCCATGCCGTGGAACTAAATTTCATATCAACATTTCTATTAAGTTTATCTATATTTGGTTGAATGTTCAAAAGATTCAGCCTTTAGTATACGGCTATGGTAGGGTGCAATATTGCAAATTACTTCACCTGCGCAAGTTTAGCTTCGAGTTGCTTATGAATGTCCTGCGTGCCACAAATGAACCTGACTGACGATAGACCTGCTCCATGGCTAGCCAATGCCTCTTGTCCAGCTTTTATCACCTTTATAATGAAAAATGATAGAGATCTGTGATAACTAGGTGTGTTTCAGTCGGTGAACGCGACTTCGAACCTACTACGTGATCAAATGTAAATTTCAACGCGATAATCGAATTAGCATTATTTATTACTTCACACCTTAGGAAAAAGTCTAACCTCGGGATGGCTGCTGAGTCCGAGATAGTTGTTGGCGCAGAAATTAAGAACCGGTTTCGATTGTCCTTTCACATTAACCAAAACTCCTTGTGGTCCTACGATGACTCGTTCAGTTTTGTACGTGCCTGCTGCCTAAAAATTGAAGTTCCATGGAAATAATTCTTAGATAAGAACCTGGGTAAGAAATTGGGGGTAAACTAGGGGGTAAGCGTTCACATGATAATTATTTGATTTACAATCTCACTGAAGCAGCGAAGAAAAAACCCGATTCTAGGTGCTTTGCAGAACCATAAGGCCTACTCAATTTGCGTGTCAGTTCGGTAAACATACCGATTTCCTCGAGGACACCTTTCACGCTCGACTGCGTGGATCAGCCACCGTGCCCTTCCTAAGGAAGAAAACGGCGTGCAAGTTTTTAGGCCGGCTCCGCGAATGACGTTAGCGGCCGAGCAGACTTTAGGAGCCTACAGGTATGGGAGTAGTCGAGCGACGGTCGCACACGTGTCTGAGGGGGGGGGGGCTACTGAAGTTTGTGAGCCTCTTCCAGAGTTTGGGACAAAGCCTTATGGTTAGGGCTGGTAAGGGATGGTGGGGGACGAGAACATCTCTTGTTTGCCCTGTTTCACAGCACTCCTGGGCTTGGCCCTAATGCCACCTACCGTGGTTTCGAATGCCATGTTTTAGGTGTCCCTCCCGCTCCGCCCTAAAGCTATGCACGATCGCTTATTTTTGCGTTTTCCACTCCAGGTGCCCTCAGCAACTTTGATTCCACGTTTAA